CTATTATAGTCAAGATACTCTGCAGTACTTCTGTTATTCTTTTTTATAATTTTTAGCTATCAACATGAGAACCATCCTTATGGAAATATAGACCAACAAGTTTTTCTTTATATTTGCAGGTCGTGTTGCCCATTTAAATACACATGACGAACTACTTCCCTTCAAGGATGTCATTGCAAAGGTTATTTATGATGTAAGTTTTGACAGCTTGTGCACAAATTCATTCTTTCTGACCTGTTGCTATGTTAATACACAGGTATTATCTCATGTAGAACTATATATCACTATTCATTGTACCATAAATTTTTGTTGGACCCCTCTCTTTACGTTCTAAGATTCTTAGAGGTGTGGGTAAGAATATTAAAGAGTGATAAGTATTTTCCTTTTTGGTCTAGTTTGGTGGAGCTTTGAAAGATCACTTGGTGAGATGGGAAGCTTGTTGTCATTATAAGAAGGACGGAGCTATGGGCATCGTGAACCTTGTGTATCAAAACCTATGCCTACTGATTATATTTCTTACTAGAGACCTTGAGAAGTTAGCTCTCAAATATATGACTCTTTCTTCCCTTGATCAGGTAATCAACAATAGACCTAGCATTTTGTTCCAGGAGGACCTTTGGATTTGTCATCTCCTTTCCCCTACCTGGTTTTTTTTTTTTTTTCGTCTCTATAAATTTTTCTTATTTTATAATCTGATGAATAAAATATTTTATTATTATTTATTAAAATAAATATTTTACTATAATAAAAATTTTATTAAATTACGTAGTAGTTTAAAAATTTTATAAATAAACTGAATATAATTCTCTACAAACTGAGAATAAAATAAAATTTATTTTGGGATTTCATTTTTAAGGTTTCTTTCAAACCTTTAGAACAACAAAAGGAAACTGAGTAGAAAGAGAGCCGGACCAAGGGAAGAGAGGAAAGATCAGAGAAAGGGAGAAAGCAGCCGGTTCCTTCCTCCATTGTGCAGACCCGCGCAAAGAGCAGCTGGTTTCTTTCTCCACCGCGCCCAGAGCCGCGCGACCCAGTTTCTTCTTCCACCGCACGCAGAGATGCAAAGAAGCTCTCAGTTTCCTTCTTCTCCAGCCGCATGTAGAGATGCACGACCTAGTTCCTTCTTCCACCACACGCAAAGACGCGAAGAAGCTCTCGGTTTCCTTCTTCTTCAGCCGTACGCAGAGCCGCGAGACCACCTCCGGTTCCTTCTCCCTCCGCACGCAGAGATGCGCGAAGATACAATCGTCCCAGCTTCTTCCGCCACGCGCAGAGCTGCAGGAAGAGCTGCACGATCCAGTTTCACTTCCGCCTCGTGTAGAGCTGCACGCAGAAGCTTTTCTGGCCGCGATTTGCTTTTTTTTTCTGGCCACCGTGTACTGCAGATCTGCCTGAGCCAAGGAAGCCGTTGAGCCGAGCAGATTTCAACCCGAGCGGAGCCACTGCACTAAGCCGAGCCGTTTTTCAGTCCGAGTTGAGCCGTTTTTTAGCCAAGCCGCTTTTGAGCCGAGCCGCTTTTGAGCCCAGGGGAGCGAGGCAGACAATTAGACGTACATGATTTCAATATTTATCTATCATTTTTTGGTTATTTTGGTACAGATTAAGAGGTTTGGTTTTTATTATTGGCTATTTTCTTCTTATCTTTAGTACTCTAAAAGTGGCAGAAACAAAAAGAGTGATGGTTTCATATTCGGATGATTCTTCGTTACAAATTAATTGTATAAAACTTGATAGTACTAATTATCTTGTTTGGTTAAGATTTTATGTATTGTTTATTGAAATTAGAGAATTTGGTTAAGATTTTATGTATTGTTTATTGAAATTAGAGAATTGCAAGAGTATATTACAGGTGATATAAAAAAATTACATGTAGGTAATTTTTAATGTAATAGAAGAGATTCTAAAAACTTTTTGGTAATGTTTTAGGCTCATCAATTTCATGCAAACCCATATTGTACTAACATATTTGGTACTTGATAGTGCATTAAAAATATGAAATGCAGTATGTTTTACATATTTACAAGTGGGTAATGATGTCAAAATTTATGAATTTCGTAATAAAATTTATAGTACTAAGGAGAAATGATTGTTTTATAATATTTTTCTAAATTGAATGGATTATGAAAAAAAAAAAAACATTATTATCAAGGTTTTTATGTAGATTGTCATGTAGATACAGACAAAATTTAAAAATTGATAAAAAAATAGTAGATTTATAACTTTTTAAATAGTTTGAATATTGAATATGATCAAATACGGGTCCAAGTACATGGTAATGATAATCTTCCTTCATTAAAACAAAGTTGTGCTTATGTCCAACAAAAAAAAAGTATAAGAAATTTTATGTTATATATAGCATTAGTTGAGAAAGCTTGATTAATTGCTCAATCTGACCAATTTAAAAATTTATGGAAGTGTGTCTATTGTGACAAACCAAAATACACTAAAGAAATTTATTGGAAGTTACATGGAAAATCAACTAGAGGTTGTGAGAGAAGGAATGGTGGACCTACGAAAAGAAAATTTGTTTAAGTGAAACATTTAACATATCAACAGTTGGAGTCTTTTCAAATAAAAAGATTTAAATTTTAAAGCGTATTCTGTCTCAATTTAATTTTTCATCATCTATAAGTGTAACAAATTTAGTAAAATAAAAAAATTCAAAAGAAGAAGATAATTGACACTGGTAAACTGCAGGATGATACTTCAGAATTTATTTTACAAGTTAAACATATGTGATATCTCTGCATCAACTTGAAAGAGGTGTTGAATACGATATTTTATTATTATTTATTAGAATAAATATTTTATTAAAATAAATATTTTATTATAATAGTAATGTTACGTAATAAGAATTCTATTAAAATAAGTAATTTTTTTATTAATAATTTAAAAATTTTATAAATACATTAAATATAATATTCTAAAAGGTGAGAATAAAATAAATATTTTTTCTCTAAATTTTACCTAACATTTTCTTGAATCTGTCATTTTCTTTTCAAGTCCTTTAACATAGCAGGGAAAACGTAGTATGTTTTTTATTTCAAAAAATCATAATATGTTCTTTAGGCTCGAGCAGTTTTTTTCTTGCAAATCTTTCTTTGCATTTTTTACTCACAACCTTTCTGTTCAGAATGATGTCTTTCTGGCTGGAAAGAAATGCAAATATTTTAAGGATTATTTCTCTCTATGTTTATTTGTTTGGGATAGATTGACTTTTGCTGTGTCTCTTTGGGCTTAGGTGTATCACCTCAAGTAAATTTCACTGTCCATAAAGAGTTTGGCTGTTTATTCCATCTTAAGTTGTTTTCTTGTCTTGACTTGTTTGCTTTTCTGTCCTATTCTTTCTTTTTTTTTTTTTTGGCCTTTTTGGGAGGACATGTGGTTGTCCTCTGTTATATCTTTCTACTCGTCTCTAATGATTCTTCTTTTTTTTTTCTCTTTCAAGTTTGCTCCCAACTTGTGCCTGATAAAAAAAAAGTAGTGGGTTGATGGCTCATCACCCTAATGATAGAATGGTTCTTCTATCACACCCAATGATGCGAGGAAGCAAGATAACAAATAATAAGGGAAAAAAAGAGAGAGGATTGAATAACCTTACAAGCATTTCTTGTGCATTACATTAGGTTCTATAATTGAATTCACGTTTTCAGCTTTCACGTTTTCCTCCCCGATCTCAACCCCAACCACAAACCAACAGAGTAGGAGGTCGGCCGACCAAAAACCC